GACAGTTTTTTTTAACACAACAGAGACGACTCATTGTGCACCAGTAGTTTAAAATACTAAACTTCTGTAGACATCAAAGCCAAAAGGCTTTAAGGAGGGATGTAGAAGACACCTGAGAGGGAATTTTCCAGAAATGTATGCTTATTTAGAAATCTAGAACAGGGGATGTGACTGGGTGGCACAATCAGACCAGGGGATAACTTATGTAACTTCTTAATTTGAGTAAGAGGGATGGTGTAACAGCAGGCTTTGGCAATGATGTGAAAGTGAAGAGAGAAGCTTCACAACTAATGCAACAGAGATGGCAGAGCCAGGGCAGTAACACAAAGCAGAAAGCAACAAGTCAAAGCAAGAGACTAATATAAACAACCTACTCTGCAACTTTCTCAATGGCTGCAAAATCTAAGCTGTTGAGCTGTCAAGGACAGAAAAAGGGACTACACTGAAATTCAGATCAGTGTGATCAAGTGGGATTAGATTGTAAATTGCATGACCAGGGAGAAAAAACAGAGAGAGAGAGATATGCTATAGAAGAATGAAGATTGAGACAGAGCCAACATAAGAGGTTTTAAGAACATCCAAGTCAAAGCTGTTGACTAAGCACAATCTCTTACCAAAAAAAACAGGATGACAGAAACTATGAGGGTTATAGTGCTGGGGATGCTCAATTGCATGGAAGCTGAAGCAACAGCTCAATCTTCAGGCGTAAGAAATGCAGACTAAGTTTTTTGGCAAAAGGCCACTCCTACTCTCACCCTTATGTAAAAAGCACATCAGAAACCAAGGCCTCTTAACACGGCTGGTAGTGCAACTACCCACGCAACTATTATGGAGAAGACAAATGGGATATTTGGAAGGAGTTAGCTATCCATCCGTGAAACAACTGTTAGATGGAACAGAAACACAAGACTAGCAAAGCACACAAACCCCACTTTGAAAAACCACCAACATGCTCTAGCTCGTGCTTTCCCATTTTGTCACCTGACAGCTTGAAATGCTCCAATGTTCAGCAGGAGGAAAAAGCAGGGCGCCATTTATCTTCAGAATGCAGCAGATTAGCTTTTTTTCAGAAGATACATTTCTAGCACTGTTATGCAAGTAATAATAAATCTCTACAATGGGCATCGTCGTGGCACACCAGAATTTTATAAGCACAGAACAAAACTTCTGCTTTCCATAAGCTTTCATTCTATTTTGATGGACACGTACCCTTGAATATCCTCATGGACATTTTAAAAGCTGTAATTTCAACTCTGAGGTTTTTCAAGCTTTGTTTTGTGTGGTGTATGATATCATAAACATCCTGAATGTAATTACAACTGCAATTTTATGGGCTGTATTTTCTCTCTTGGTAGCCCAAAGCTGATGTTTACAAAAACTTTTCTGCACACTTATTTGATTTGAACTTTTTATTATTATTACAAATGTATATTATTTTATTTAAAAAATTCACACTGAAGCAAAGTCAATTCCATTTCATTACAACCAAGAATATAAAATAAATGCAATGAACTCATAGCTTAGTTTTAACAGTCATTTCAAGAGTGACATCAGGACAACTTAAAAGCAGTAAACTCCCAACTCTACAATGAGAAACAAGTATTTTGCTTTGTGGTTTTGCTAGCCCACTGGCATGGGCACTGCTGAATGTGGCCACCACAGACCTAGAGTGGCAAAGTTTTGTGGCAGTATGAGGCGCATACACAATAATTTTCAATGGAAACTACAAAAATGAAAGATGTGTGCATGAAATTATTAGAAAAAAAATAACTGAATAGAGACAGGCACACTTTCACAAATAGTAAACATGGGAATATACAACTAGAACAATTTGAAAAGTTACTACCTTACATATATAAAAAGTTCTTTAAATTGCTGTTAAAAAGGACATGTTCTGTCCAGATTTTGTGTAATACTTTTTAGTGTCTACACAAGACAAATTTTTAAAAAAATTAAATAGCATTAATTTACTACTAAATATTTAGGAGATAACAGTGCATTAAGGACTTTTTTCATATAGTAATACACGTCGCTCCTGTCCGGCGACATTTTTAGAAGATTACGTATGGCCTTATGTACAATACATTTATTTAATCCTAAAACAATTCTTTGCTTAATGGTGTTAAAGTACCATTCCTGAAGATTATGAAGGGGAACTAAGCTTATTATGTTTATATAAAATATTATACATATTTGAACACTTCTAGCTTCCCGCCACCCCTCCCGCTACGAATGCTCTTCCCTCCCCCTCCCCAGATACAGTGTCACAGATACAGTGCAGGACTCGCAGCTTTCCCTACGTTTCTCCTTCATTGTGCAGTTTGTGCTACATAAACTTCACCAACACGGACCAGGCTGCTCATCCTGTTCATTCCCCACGTGTTTGTTTCCTCTGAGCCACGATGGGAAAAGCTGTACCCAGCAGCCTGCTCTCCCACCAGAATGGAGAAGACAGCTCTGCCCCCGTCACCGGCATCTCCCGGTGCAGGTGTGAAACACTTTGGTGAGGGTCTAAAGGTTATGGGCAGAGACAGAGCTATGAGTAATAATGAAGCTGCACAGGCAAAAAAATAACAAAAATTACATGGTCCTGGTTTCCCATGACAAACTGCACGATTCACTTCTGAAAGCGGAATGTTTTTACCTCACGGGATGACCCCTAGACAGCAACGCTTCTTCTACTATGACAGCCACTGACCCCGGCAGCATGCATCAAGCTCCCAAGAAAAAGAGAACTATTTCACCACCAGGAAGGAACTACAAGAGTGTGCAGAGCCTGTGTTTTGCAGCCAGCTTTTTTGCTTTTATTCACTCTCCTCCCAGTGGTGAGTTTGAAGGAATGGAGGAAGTCAGCTCGGCTTCATGTGTGCGCACAAAAGCTAGAGAGGAGCGGCATGCGGTCATCTACCAGACCTAACCAAGGCAGAAACACCAGTGCAGCTTAGAGAGGGGTCGTGGCAGTCACTCTAGAAGCTGGAAGCTCACTCAATTAAAGCACCTTACATTGCTGTGAAGTTTCACACTCTACATACAGATTAATCTACACCATGATTTTGCCTTATTGGCACAAGAGCCCACCTTAATTAACCATATAGTTCCCTGCCATTTGTATAAATTTTGATGACCACCTGCAGGTCACAGTAGGGAACAGAAATGTTACATAACTGCAGCAGAAAAGACAAAATAATTTTGAGATAAGAGAAAGACGAAAAGAACAGGAGGGGACAAAAATTACCCTGCCAAAGGTTAATTTCCATAAATGTGACATTCAAGTCAAATGTTACTTTATGGCATTGGCCAAAAAACCATTAGCTCAAAAGTACCTCACATTAACACCAGTAAGAGGTGAGACAAAAAGAAAGCAACCTCTCAGGCTCAGTGAAATAAAGGAACAACTAAAATCTGTTCTTACAAACAGACTACTAGGGCATGTATAAAACAGAGCATTTCAAGGGTTACACATTGAAAGTACCCTTTGGGAGATTATTTTCCCCCAGAAATAAGGTTTTCCTTTCAATTGCTTCATTTCATTTTTCACCACCTTCTTACCCATTTGATGACAAAAGCAGGTTTCAGTTGCTTTTTCGGGGCAGTTGGGTGTTGTCAAAACCACATGATGGTAGGTATAGCCAAAACAAGCCAACTGCTCACAAAAGGTATGAAAAGAGCGTTGAGTTTGAGGAGGAAGGGGGCACTAAAAGGTGATTGAGAGATGAAACCCAGTAGAAACTTGTATGTGACTAGCTGTGACGAAAAACATTCTCCTCAGAGCAAACAGATTTACTCGCAGAATCACAGAATATGCCAAATTGGAAGGGACCCACATAGGTCATCAAGTTCAACTCAGCCCCGCACAGGACCATCCCCAAGAGTCACACCATGTGCCCGAGAGTATTATCCAAACACTTCTGGAACTCTGTTAGGCTTAGTGCTGTGACCACTTCCCTGGGGAGTCTGTTCCAGTGCCCAACCACCCTCTGACACAGGACAGAAGAGAACACAGTGCAGCATAAAAACCTATAATGTTAACCATTTATGCAAACCTCTCTCACTTTACCTCTTCTCTGGACACCAGCTGTAGAAGCTCACTGGTGTTACACTGCCAGTAGCTTTTTGAATGCATTTTCCCAGGTTTTCTGCAACTAGAATCAGCCTTATTTCTGAAGGCTGAAGGAAAAATGAAGCTGTCCCAAATTACATGTTGTGTCTCTCTGAATAACTGTGGTTCCAGAAGTTGGACAATAATCCCCTGATTATGCTTCTGAACTCTTGCTTAATTACTGGGGATTTTCTGCCAGCTACCCATCCACTTGCAGTCCCTTAGGCACAATCAAAACATGTTTGCTCTAGGGAAAAAGAAACATTTCAGTGCAATCAAGCGCATCTGGTGTAACTAATCTGGTTAATCACAGCAATGTGAGGGACATACAATATGCACTATAAACATGAAAAAGGAACAGTTTTCAACATGCTTTTCAAACTGCACAATAATTTCTCTTAATTATTAATTCTAACGTAAAATGGTTAAATGCATTTGTTTTAGCAAGTCTTTAGTATTTCTGTCACCTTTAAATTTTGAGAACTGACTCAGGAATGCGAAAGAAAGCTAAATTTGTAGAACTCTCACATACATGAATCAGCTGCTTAAAAGAAAAACAAGCCCATCATCCACATTCCTACTGAGACTCGAGGGCAGTAAATACATTTTCCTGACTCTTTTGGTGTCCAGCCTGGGAAGACATTCCATTCTTCTGTTCTAACAGATCCTGAAAGCATTTCCATTTTATGTGACTGTCCTGGTTTCATTTAAAATAACGCTTAATTTAAAACTAGTCAGAGCATGATCACTGTGATTTCAAGAATTCAATGTGAATGAGTTAAGAAATACCAGCAATCTTCTGTTTGACATTCAGTCCAGTGGCATGAAGCATATTTGTCGCTGCAGAGACTTGGGTGGTTTTTTTCTTTTTTCCTTTTTTCATTTTATTCATTTTTTAAATTTTTTATTTTTAACTTTGCCTGAAAACTAGACTAATAAAAACAGAATAGTAAAATACTCTGGAACAGTAAAATTTTGCTGTTCTTGACATCCATGAGCAAAACAGTAATATCCTGTGAAAATAACATAGTGCTTTAAAAAGGTGCAATATACCTGTATAGCTAAACTGGTTTGCCTAGTATAAAACTAACTATATACAAGCTTGAAAGCCTGGGAGTTCAAGATTTTCAAACTTTAAAATCCCATTAAAGAGATTGAAAAGACAGATTTATGGCAATCACTACAGCATAAGGAAGGTGCACCAGGAATCCTTCAAAATTCCAAAGGTTAAAGAAATTAAGTGCTGGGTTCAGATCAGAAGGGTTCATTAGAGTAACCACAATGGAGCACATGCAAGGGCAGGGAGGAAGGAAAACTTCACAAGAATCTCCTTTATGGCAATAAAGGGATGGGGCGAGGGAAGTCTTCAGTGACTGAAGTTTTCCTTTTGCCATCATGAATTTTAATTCTGCATTATAGTTTGTATTTTTGGTCTTCTCATCATTATGAACTTCATATTGCTGGAGTCTTCTGGCTTTTAGTCCATTCCTTTCTGAGTGCAGCCTGTCAGGCCTCTCAGTACCTGTGAGACTGATGAGATTGGTGATACTGAGAGCTCTGCTGAGAGGACGTGGAATAGCCCATTGTACTCTGGGACTGAGAAGATCCCTGAATGTTGCTTTGGTAACTCAGGCGTGAGCTGGAGTGCTGCAGGAAAAAAAAACAGAAAGGGATCAGGGGAATGCAAACCAGCCTGTTAGGACTATGCAGCTCAGGAAGTTTTTAACCCTTCTGAAGGTCATTAAAACATAATTGTTGGAGAAGCTGACAAAAGAGTGCTACTATTTAGGGTCCCATAAAACAAGTAATCATTCTGATCTGCAATCAGCCCTAACACAGCATACAAAATACACGAGGTATTGGGAGATACCTAGAAGTACAACATATACACACCCATTTTCTGAAGGAAAAATACACAAGACACAGGAGAGCAGACTCCCTTTCAAAATTGATTTGTTTCATACAATTATTTCTGTCATTACTGTAATTGCTATTAATGCAAAATCAAACTGCTAATGCCATAAATATCCTTCTCAGGATAGGTAATACCAAATGTTACAGAGAAACATTTTATTTTTTTCTGAGAAAAAGACAATGCATGACCTAAGAGTTACTCAATTTATCTAAAGGAAAAATTGTTCATTAAGATAAAATAATATCATTTTAGGTGAGTCTTTCAACCTGCTGCCTTATCTACTGGAAGCAAGGATAACTGCTTAAAGCTGGGCATGGGTATGTACGGTAACCTAACATTCATTTTCCTAAGTGTTTTTGTCTTCCCCTCCACAGTTTGGGATGTCAGCTCAGTGGACCTCAACCTCAGTAAGACAAATTCATGGATTGTTTGTGACCTCCAGCCTGATGAATTTGCTCTTTCATTATTACATCCATTCCCTGTCCAGAATTAATAATGAGCTGCCCAATAATGCAAGTTACAAAATCACTTGGCATGAAAAGTACTGCTCAGTGGATAGGAGACTCTCCAGTAAGGTAAACCCCACCCCAATTCACATGAGAGTCTACATACACATTCCCCCCCCCCCCCCCCAAATTTCCAGTCAGAAAACAGTTTTGTTTCCAGCCGAGTTAAGCAAGGGTTCAGGCAGTCATTCAATAGAGTTTTGTTCACTATCTAATTGGTGGTTCTACTTGGCTCTGTCCAAGGGCCATCAACAAGCCCATGGCCAACAGCAATCATCTAGGAAAAGTGTTAAGATCGTAACACTGTGATTAAATATCAGCATTATGAGTTCCAGAAAGGCCCTGGAGAAGTTTCCATTTCTCAGTGGAAATCCCATGGAGACACTGGGTCTGTAAGAACACCACACCTTCCACAGACCAAGAATCTGCTCAGGGAAGGCAGTCAATGGTCTCATCTAACCACTGGACCCCAACCAGGAAAGCTGCGAAAGCCTCCTAACAACTTTTCAGCTGGATGATGAAAGAGCACGATCCTAAAGTTCAGGCAGTCTAAAACAGTTCTGCCCTTTGTTTCTGTACATGGATTTATAATTTTAATTTTACATAAACTGTAAAACACACTAAATCCTAAAATGATCACATAACTTTTTCTATGTTCTAACACAGGAACATGAACGTTGCTTTCAAGGGGAAGCACAGTGAGGCTAACGTGAGAGAGAGAGGTAACAGTCCCATAATGGAGACCTCTGTATATCAATATAATACCACTGTAACTAATAGTTGTACTGAGCAACTTCACTCGTTTGTAAGGGTCAGTTTTTTGGAGGCAACAGCTCGGCACTTTGGCTTTGGAAGAGATGTCTCCCACCAGCATGTATGCTGTTAATAACCAGATTATTCTTGTCTTGCTTTGTTAGGTTGTTAACAGAGTGTCTAAAACCTGAAATTTTTCTCAAAATTCTGAAAGTTTTTTTCAACTTCTAATGGAAAAAAAAATGCTATGATTTTATAGGAGCTTATTCTGGATGAAAAGCATCAGCTCACCATGCTAAGCAAAACACCCAAGGTCACAAAAGGAATGCTCAGTAAAATTCACTCAGTACAATTTGCACTGTCATTTGTGGAAGCAACATATATTGAGGCTGATGAACTACAAGAAAACTTCAATGGAGACTTTAAGTCACAAGCTAAATGAAACTCAAAGCAAAGGGAATCTTCCTCCTACTTCTGAATAAGATATATTGGAGTAAAATTAATGCCATAAGACTACAAGAATGCAATAACTTGCCCATGCTTATTTTCGTTCCACATAAGAGAATTTGTTTTTAACGAAGTCAGACTTGGACAAATTGCAGACATTCCTTTCTGGAACAGAAGACAGCTAGAATTTAAGGGCAGAAAGCCAAACGCAAGTGTAAAAATGGATAATCAAACCATATAATTTAGTGAGTGATGCAAAGGAACCATACAGATCATGATTTTGATGCCTGTGCTGTTCAAGTTTAGAAGGAAAGCATCACAGAGGGTTAAAAAAAATTATCTGAAAAAAAATATTTAGACTCATAGCAACTTGTAAGGGGGAAGTTTGCCAACAATTCAGAGAGTTGGATAAGAATTCTATAATGGATATCATTAAAATGCAGCACACCAGTCCTCAAAGTACAGACCAAAACAGACCAGCCATAAATACTGTGTATTCAGACAGCTGCAGTGATCTGTCCAGGCCTCAAGCCCGTCTGGAACTTTTCAAAAAAGAAACGTAGTTGTCTTTACCCTTGAACTGCCCTCAATGCCTTCATGATCGTTTGTAATTAAAAGAGTCAAACAGAAACGGGAGAAAAATCTCTGGCACTGAGAAATCAATTGTCTGTGGAGAAGCTCTGGAGGGCTAAGTGAAGGCAACTCCGGTGCTTTAAAAGTTACTTACTTTAAGTTTAAAGCAGCCTGAAAAGACTGTTCTCCAAGGTGGGATTCTCTCAGAGGCTAGTAGCAGAGCCCCTAGCATCGTTTAAATTCTACCTCTAATATCTACCTTCTTCTTATTCTGCTTTCAACTCATTACTGTTCCAGAAGTACTGAAGATCCCGGTAAGTTCAATGCTTTCTCTACTTAGTGAAAGTCACTTTTTCAGTGGAAAATATAATGCCAGAAAGCAAAGACAAATATGCAAACCAAAAATAATTCACTGATACTGCTTTCACTTATGAATGCTACTGTACTAGAAGACATGAAATCTATTAAATTTTGGTCCCGTTAGAAACAATGCATGTCTTTGTGCCCTACCTCAGCATGAATCATACAGATGAACCAAAATGACATTCCTGTGTTACCATGCATTTTTCCTTTAACATTAAAAGTAGACTTAGAAAGATACCAGAATAAACTACAGAACCACTTCATACATGTGATAATATGAGGTAAAATGATGAAGGAATGAAATGGGAGAGCTTAGTTCTAACTTTACTTCTGCTTCTCAGATCTGCTCCTCACATAGGATTTAATATTGCCAGGACTTGAGTATCCTGAACTTGATGCAATGCAGCATTTACATCCACTGGCTTCAGTACATTACTCTCTAACATGAAGTTCAGCAAATGTTTTAAGTTCTTTCCTGGAGTGGACTAGTCTTCAACACTTTACAGGGTGCAGTAGATACAATTCAAACTGGTATTGTATTGAAAATTACCAATCACAGAACAAAACCTTTTCATTTAAACCCGACATTTTAATATAATATATGACAGCATGCCTGCTCAGGTTACATGAAAAATTCATTACAACATGATGCGTTCTTGCAGTGGGGAAGGGGGAAAAAAACCCGACGTTTTGGCCCCGTAGCATCAGAAGTAGCAAAATTTCAAGAGGTACCTGATAATCTGAAGGCATGACAGGCCCGCCTGAGTTAGCGCCTGAAGGCCCTATGCGTGGTTTCTTGTTCGGAGGCACCTGGTTGAGGCTGGAGTCCTGGCTGTGCTGGAGCCCCGCGCCCGCGCCCCCTCCGCCTGCGCCAGCACCCCCGGCCGTCCCGTTGGTCTGGGTGCTGTTCTGCTGCTGCGGCTGCGGCTGCTGCGGCGCTGCCTGCGGCTGCTGCTGAGGTGCTGTTTGCTGCTGATGCTGATTCTGCTGCTGTTGATTCTAAGGGAAGAGGCGACACAACATGGTCACTTGCTCCAAGATGGGTTTGTGAGCTTTATGAAGTTGCCAACCTCAGTGTCACCGAGAAGAAGGCAGGCTTGGCTGCTCCAAGGGAAAATACAGCAAGGCTGACTGGTGTACTGAGAACTGGTTTGTTCCCAGTACACTCCTGCACACCTTGTGGGGGTATCCCACTTGTGACTGGTTTTCTTCTTTAACAAAGAGAGCTGGACTTAAACTGGAAGGACAGCCTAGTGTCTCCTGCAGCTAGCCAAGTGCTCAGAGAGGAGGACAGAAGGAACCATTTATAAACCAGTAATCGTCTAATGAACTAAATCAAAACTTCCAAAATTTCACTAGTGCTCAGTGGCAGACATGGTGAACCACAGCAAATTATTTTAAGAGCTTCAACAGCCTTGTTCACTCAGAATCAAAACCATTTTTCAAACTTTCACATCATAACAACCCAAAGAAGCATTACTGCCAGAAAGGTAAGCAAATTGAGACCAGAGAAACTGTATAATTTCTTCTAGGTTGCAAGGAAATTCTGTGGCAAAACCAGAAACAGGTTTCATTACTGTTTTGGACTCCTGTGCTTTCAAGCACCTTGCGAAGAGTGCTATAGTGGGAATAGGGTCCACTATGGTGCACCAGGTATAGGGTCAGAAAATCTTACTAAAATAGCAGAAAAGTGAAAATTAACCAGAGATAAGTACTTGAAGACAAAAGAGGAGGAAACAGCTGGAGAAGAATTTGGTAAGGGCAGGAGAAGACTAGCAAAGGGAGGGAAGCCAGATAATTAAGATGACACTGGGACCTCGCAGGAAGAGAGACGGAAAAAAGTGCCACAAAAGGGAGAAAAAAGGTTAAGAAGGAGAACACAAGAGCAAAAGATATTGCACTCTTCAGGCTTCAGAGGGCTACAGACTTAAAAGAGTATTAGGGAAGTGGAAAGAAGGTCAGAAAGTGCAACCCTGCCCTCCATGGTTAGACAGTTCTGGGAAAGACCACCCATTCATCTGCTTTTGAGCCCCAGGATGGCTCCTCTGTCAGAGCACTAAAACACATAAGAAAATTGCAAAGAAAAGCAATTTCACTCCAAATGAGATATGTCAATTGGTTATCGTAGAAAAAACCTACAACTGACATGGTTTGAATTGAAAAGCCTTATAACCCTTCCCCTAGCATACTGCAGGGAACATTCCAGGATAGTATTTTTTTTTCCTAGAGTATCTGCTAATATAAAGATCAAAGCATGGTAGCCTTTTATAAAACCCTCACTTTATTAGTTTCCCAGAAATCATGACAACCAGTTGCCACTAGGAGAAAATTGATGCCCTAATCATCAAGATGCATTTAATTACCTCAGATAAAGGACATAAAAGATCTGTATCTATGCCATTCATCACAGTGGTCTCCCAAGATATATTCAGATGAAATTTGCAATGGTGTACTTCTTTAAGATTAAAAAGAAGCCTTGCCTCTTCAAGGACGTCAAGGTGGCTTGCAAATCCATTTCACATTTAGCAAAACTAATAATGTATCCTCCTGCCTGTAGTCCTCAAATCCCATCTCAGTCAGATTCTGTATCCTGTGAAATTTAGACTTCAATAATTTAAAAAGTTAATCAAACTAGCTTGTAAAAAAATCTATTAAGAAGCAATTAATCTTTTCATAATGGTTTGAGCTTCACTTGCACAAAAACCAATAACTAAGGCAGTATTTGTGCTAGAATTCCATAATTTGTGTTTTCATAGGGGTGTTTGAATGCAAGTTGAGGTGGTTGCTACTGTGTGAGCTGAAAAACTGCAATTCTGTTATGTGTAAACAAATATTGCAGGAGCACTCATAATTAAAGACAAGAGTTTGTTGAGGTCCCAAGTTCCACGCTTTGGATTTTAGCACAAAATTTACTTGATTAGCCTGAGCTCTTCTGTGGAGCTACTACTGCTACTGCCTGGGTAGAGACTGCTCTGTCAGACTCCAGCTGGGGTCTAGGTGCACCACTTTATTGCACAAAAATGGCTTATACTAGCAAAGACGTTGTCCTTGGGTCAGTCTGGTTCATGGTAGCTCCTAAATGAATAAACTTATAAAAGGTTCTACAGTTAAGAACATATTGCCACCTGTTCCCTTTCAGGCACAAACTACCAAAATGAAATTTCGGTTCTACCTACAAACCAACCCAGCAGAAACTTGCCTAACAGAATTTGAATGAGAATAGTTTCCCTTTGTGTTAGAAACCCTCATTTTATCTTTGGGGACTAACGATTATGCATTTTGAAGAATGGATGTTATTCAAAGAAGAATGTTAAATGTTATTCAATTCAGATTCAAGTTCCAAATAAACAAACACGGAGAACTTCTCCAGGTTTCTGAAGGACTATACAGATGTTTATGGTTTTAAAACAAAGCAGAAACAAACCAGTATAAAAAAAAAATAAAACCTTTCATTTACAATAACATCATAAAGCAACAAAACATGGTACACATTCAACTTCCAGAATATCCTTTAACTCCACATTGTCTACACTGTGGGAACACATTCAAAGAGTAATGTGTGACTTACATTACCTAAATGGTCTGAAAAAAGTTTAATTTGGAGTGTGTATAAATACGTGACTGTCATCAACAATCTGAAACAGTCCTTCTCACACAGTCTTCAGATAATTACAGTTCAAGACTGTTCTCTTCACATTATTTTAGCTATACATTACTGTTGGTGTCTCACTGTACACTGTTAAGTGAAAATAACATGCTGTTTTTTACACTACAGCACCACTGTCCAGCCTTCACAGCATGATGGGACAATCACTGTGGTCACGTAGCACAGCTGAGCTACACGCACCAAGCAGACCAAATCATGCTGCAAACACACCAAAGTTTACTATGCACACAAACAAGTTCTCGCCCATGTCTACGGAGCTATGACAAAGAGAATATTCAGAGCAGATTGTCACTACCAGAACAGTTCACAGTCCTTATAACTCCTTTGTCTGAGGGCCCTTAAAACATGATCAGGAAACTGTGTGCAGATGGATGAAATGTTCTGATGTAGTGCCAGAAGGAGGCTGCCACTATTTACTGGAGACCCCAACAGCCATCTACATTCAAATGGTTGGATGTATGCCAGTCATACAATGAAAATGTCATTCTTTTCATGTGCTCACAATGTATTTTCATCATGCAATGCTGGAGGAAGTAGCAAGGTCCTCTTGGAATGACAGCAGCTGAAAGCAGGCTATTGTTGACAGAACAGCCCATACAGCTCATTTTCCCACAGGTCAGGGCAAACCATGCTGGTAATACCACCTGAGACACCCCAAAGTCATCTGATACTTTTCATATTTCTGAGAAGCAGTTTTAAGAGAGCTGAGCGTTACCTTGGAAACATATTTTTTGTTAACTCTTCATGTTCCATTAGTTTTCACTTGGTAGCACCACGATGCTTTCTTATTGCATATTTAAAAGTGTGGTTTTTTAAAGAAAAAAGGATTTTTTTATACCTTATCCCCTTTCTCTTCAGGTTCATCTTCATTGAGGAATTCTCTTTTAGGATATGGAATCTGACAGCCAGCAAACACACTGAAACACAGTAAACAGTAAACACTCCACAGATATGTACATATGGCATACATTTACTTACACCATGTTAAAAACAAGTGCATATAACATAACTAAATTTCTTGTATTTCAAGTGTCCTGTTTCCAAAAGTGAGTGGCAGCGTGAGCACCCAAGATGGGTGCTGATCATAACTGTCAGATCTCTCTGCTGTTGGCAGCAGGCCATCATTGAGAAATCATGGCATGGTTGAACATGCCTGAATGCCAGAACGACCACTTTTGATCCAGATGGTAAAAAGAACAAACACAGTGTCAGAGGTTCCACAACACCCAGCTAGAACATGCATGGCTCACTGAATAAAGATCCAAAGAATATTAGTGTCTTACAAGCCTGCCTTGGTTTACAGCAGGCTTAAATATTTGCCAATCACAACTGCAGAGTTACTTTCAATAAGCTTCTCAGGTCTTGTTTAGGGGAAAAAGAAGATAGTTTTCAAGTTCCACTGGCCAATGGAATTTGGAACACTCCTTAATGTTTATGGCAGAGACTTTATCACAATGTTATCCTGTAATCTGTGAGGAGCTATAGCTCTACCTGGGATAGCATGAGATAAACTTTAAAAAGAAAATTAGTGGTAGATCTTGCTCAGTATCAATTTCTTAGATTTCTGTGCCAATGTTCAGAGTACAATCAATGTGATACGATTTTTTAAATGGTGTAAACGAGAAAAAGAAATCTAAAAACCCCCAACTAGTCTCAGCTAGGTTCCTTTTGCACTCTAGTGACTGTTCCCTCCATTTAGTGTTGCTTGCAAGCTGAGGAAATAATGAAAGTAAAAGTAGAAGTCTCTCTGCATCCAGTTCCTACAGAACATAATGCCATGCACCACCATGCTTCTAAAAACTGGGAAGAGAAACTGTAAGTCTGCCAGTTGGAAATGAATATATAATTTGAACTTTTCATGACAATAAAATATAGAGAGACATAAACTCTGTACTCTCAAGCCTTTTGAACAAGGGATTTGTGGAATTTGAGGTAGCCATTTATCTCTTCACTCTTCTCATACTGTTACCCTGTGCAAGAGGGCACAGGAAGGGGCTGTAGGTCAGAGAATTGGTCTAATCCTAGGGAGGGGCACAATCAAACCAGTCAGTGGAAGACAGGGCTCTGTGAGGCTGTGTAAGGCAGAACAGAAGAGGGCACAGATTAATTCTGTGAATACTAGCTTTGGTAGTGTGCTCAGAATTACACAACTACTGTGGTACTCAGTTATTTTTCATGACCATTTAGTTCTGGCACCAGTAGATACAGACATTTCAGTACTACTAGTGTAGTTTCTGTGAGCACATCTGAGCTACTACTTCTTGTGGACACAGGTAGATATCTGAAAGTTTCAGATGTCATGTCATTTCAGGCATTAGCATATTGTAGAAAGAAGATGTGCACAGATGAGGGAATACATACTCTGATGTAGGCAGAGGATCCTCTTGAAAGTAGGGGTCCTGCAAAGCCTGCTCTGAGGTAATTCTCTTTGTAGGGTCCATAGTAAGAAGCTTCTGAAGCTGTAAAGTATAATATTAAAAATAGCAAAAAGTTCATCAAACTACTATTTTTCAAACTATAACTTTTACGTCTTGGATTGTGGATTACTAAATTATTTCTGGTTTGTCCAGACAAGCCTAAGTTAGCATTGCTTGTCCAGTGAAGCTCCCAAGAACTATAATATTAGCACATCCATCAAAGTACTGTGAAGTACAAAGGCTGTGAAGTACTTCTCATGTAAGAAATGGTTAGGTGTATTAGGCAATATTAATTGCTACGGCTAAATCACTGTGCTAAAGTAACACTAAATTCAGCTATTACAGGTTCATAAAGCATAATTTATAAATAATGGCTATTTGTTGTGGCCCATGTATAGCTGTTATACTGTTCTGTACAGCTGACACAAAATGAAGTGTCAGAACAGACTGAACGTGACCAGGACTCTTCATATCACTTTAGGGACGGAAACAATAAATCTTCATTTCTTGCACTGGCCAAATTCCAGAGTCAGAGCACTCCGATAGTCATGCAGCTCCCCAAACCCACTCCAATTGGTACTGAAACAAGAAAGAGGGGGAGCAGACCCTTCCTAGTAACCTTTCTTCCTTGCTAGGAGGAAAATAAGCCTAAATCTATTAGTTAGAATGCTTTTGACTGCAGCAGGCTATAAAAGAGAATTACACTATATTAATAGTGTAAACAGCAATTATAGGGATATCGCACCATTTTAAAGAGTTACTTATTTATCACATTCTGATAAACTCACAGTAGGAAATTTGGGTGCTCAAATTACATTATACAGTATCCTGCTCTCATACAATACTCTCTTAATTCATGTCAACAGTAAAAGTAAAATTCCTTCTGCAAAGGGCATTTTAGTTCAAAATGTCTTTCAGTCCTCCAACAAAAGCTGCCTGGATATTCAGCAAAATAATGTGACTTTGGCATGGGTATTTGGAGCTTTTTCTTCCAATAAATTAAAAATCTGATATACAATTCTACATTCTATATATTTGCTATAATAAGCAGCCTTGGTAAGAGTACCCACCCTCCTCAAGAAAGATGATTCCCTGTATTTTCTTTCTCAATAGTTATAGTTAACTCTACTTGGTAGATGAAGCCTATTAAATTCTTTGTACCTATCCTTATTATTAAATTCTTCACACCTATCCTTATTCACATACCTTATGGGCCATGGAGCTCAGCAGATTGACAACACAACAGAGCTATCTGGGCTGTCTCTCCATTTATCAGTTCATTTCCAATCAGCTCCTGAAATTATTTCTGTTGTTTGCCTAGAGATACACCTCAAGATAGTCCTGCACTGCACACACTTGGAGAGTTCACCTGAGACATTTATCTACGGTATTTTTGTGTGGTCAGATAACCCTTAACCCAATGTTTCCCATGCACCTTAACAAATTGAACTTCTAATGTGCTGTTGGTTCTCTATACAGTGACCTCACACAATATATACCACAACCTGGGGACTCCCACTGTCTTTACTTCAAATCACCACCTCTTCCTACATGCAAAATTTTTGTCAGTTATAGCAGTTTCTGACACATTTCTTCTCCCCAGTTCCTCCACAGTGACTGCATATTCTGTACAAGGCCACTCCTGGTCTTTGGTACCAGATGCCATCCTTGACAGAAGAGTACAGGGCATCAGCTCTGCCCCTCGGATGCCTTCCTCAGACCTGCTTGCTGCAGTACTACTCAAGAGAAAGCTCATCCAGTTTTCTGCCATGTAACACCATCATCACAAACTGCCTCCAAAATGACCTGTACTTTTTGTCACTCAAACATAAGGCTAATGTACTGCAGTAGAAGACCTAAAGATATCTTGGACCTTTTAATGATCTGCTCTTTCTGTCAGCATTCACCCTTCACCCCAAGGATACTATCAGTTTGCGCATTGCAAGTGATACCACATGTAACATCACTGCAAGTGAGATAACCTGCCTATCAGTGATGCCACCGGGAACCAACTTTCTTTTGGAAAGTCTGGTTATCTGAAGCTTCTGGGAAAATGAATAAAAAACGTCTGGAGGCAATTTGTTTTCAGGGTAGCAGTTGCTAACACAACATAGCAAACCCATGAGATTAGACTTCATGAAAAGTCTTACTGCTCAGCAGGTCTCAAAATTGCTCACTCTTGGGCTCCCCTGGCCTGACATGACAGCTATAAATACTACGCTTGTAACTCTTCCAGGGCAGCAGGAACAGATGCCTCTTCCTGAATAGAAAACATTCTGCCCTTCATGTAGATACTATCATTCAATGTCAATCTGCAGAATGGCATAATATTCTCTTTGTCAAGAGTCACTTGCTATCCTGCACTGGTCTACTCGATGCCATCTGTTCTCCAAGCACCACACTTTCCGTACTCATTAGCTCAAGGTCTTGATCAATGACTGTTACAAATCAGATGCCTTCTGAGGTCACCTTGCAAGATGGAGCTTGCCTCAAAAAATAACTGCCTTGGATACGAACAAGGAGTTTTAGGGAGCCTGCTTCAAAATACATGTACCTCCAAACTCAGTAGCAGACATATTTCTCATCTCTTGATATGGGAGAGCAACGCACACCTCTCCTTTAAGATTTGCTGTAGGACCTTTCACAGGATAAGGTAGGAACTGAGCTTCTTTTCCTGTAGTATGGCTATGGTAATTTTTAGGTGCATGAACTTATTTCACAGCAGTGAGGTATCAAGAAGGCTGCCCATATTCCTGGGCAGATCTCTGGGAGACTGGTCTATTTGAGATCAGCCTCCATCTCTGTGGCTGATCATTAAACTACCCTTATTCATCCCTGATTATGAACTGTGAGAAAAATCTAACAGAAACTACCTTGATTAGTGAACTAAGTCTTCTTCATGATGTTCAGAAAGAACAGCAAAATTTGGTTAGTTTTTTGTTCTTTAGAGATCTGGTTAATATTTCCTCCTGGAAAAGCAGCCTACCCACTCAAGATGACCCTCAACTTTGTCTTCACAATCTTGATGAAATAGCCATGTATGCTGACAGTAACTCATTTGCTTCTCTGCCTTTACACCAGCTTTTCTGGTGGCTTCCACCTTTACTAGGAAAACATGGAAATTCAGGTGCTAATTAATGTCATCTTTTCAGTTAGACTTATCCTCTAGGTGATTCCAATGTGTACTCAGTAAGTTCAGTTTAAGAAGTTTTAATTCATTTTAATTCAAGTTTCACACTTCTTATGGGAATGCTTCCCTTCCACCCACTTGGGATTAACCTACTCTGTTTCCACAGCTATTTGTGTCATCATCCAGCAGCTACTAACAAGTCAAAGAGCAAATCTTTGCCAGGACCTAGAGAGATGACTGGTATGCTGAATCTGTAACTGAAAACAGACCACGGGAACTCAAGCTGCACTAAGCCTTATTGCAGAGGCTCCCTACTCACAGTACTAGCAAAGTCACTTTGAACTTCATGCCTAAATTTAGACAGCACTAAGTCATCACAGAGGCATCCAGGAATGATCCACTGGCCTACACTGGATGACTCAACTAGGTAACCAGCATATATATGTTTATGGATTTTGTTTGGAATTGCACATGCAACAATGGTAGACTATTGTCAGAGGGAAGAAAAAGAAAAACAAATTACTACAGAAAATAAATTTCTCCTTTCCTCTTCCCTTTCTTCACAAAACTATTTCGCTTCTGGAAGCTCTCTAGCCCTCTGGGACAATAAGAATCAAGACACATACTATACTCACTCTCCTATTTGCACAACAGACCTAAAGGTAAGTGCCTTTCAGATCTTAATTACAGAAGACTCTCGGATCTTCACTACCAGCAGTTTAAGCACACCTCAGCATAAAAGTACATGAAGGAAACACATCTCAAAAATGGCCAGTTAGTGGTAAATAGCTTTCTTTAACATTAGTGTTCATTAGCATGAGACAGAAGAACAGACACAGATATTACCATTAGAAATGCATTTCATTCCTGTCATCACAGCAATTTTGAAATTGCACCTACCAAAAGAAAAACTTTGCTGTCAGGCTTGACTTTGTGTTTCTCCATGTATTTTATGAGGCTACTATTGGCATATCTGAAAAACACAGTTAAAGAAAGACATGTCTGAAATAATACTGCTTTAAAAACATGGAACTCTATCAAATGATCACAAAAACATTTACCAGCTCTTACTAAGTAAGCTATAAAAAGAACTGCTATCAGAAGATATTGTGAGATATTTATCTAGCAGTGGCACACATAAAAGTGTGCTTTTCACCAACAAGACTGGTATCAACTTTGCAAAGATTATTTCCATGAAACACACAACTTTTATAGCATACGGATAAACTGTTGATATGGACATATAACAGAGAGACATAACTTGAAGTTTATACTATAGCTTTCTAAAGCAACTCTGCCACAGAAAGTGTTCAGCCCTTCGTCACAGCTCAACATCTAAGCTATTAAGTTGTTTCCAGTTACCATTTGGCACAGCAGTTAAGGTTACCACTATGTCTTCCCGATCCCAGCCTGCAGCAAATCATACAGTCCTTACAGCTCCCAAGTTCAAAGATCCCCAAATACTCATTACCTGTGGCTTGCCTTGAATTTACAGCTCCAGAGGTTATCTATAGCCATTTTCAAAAGAAAGAAGCTTCATGCGCAGATAAACTTCATGTCTTGTCTAAAGACAGTGTAATGAACCCATGGCAGAACTGGAACCAGAATCCAAAGCTTCTGAATCCATGTCCTCTGCCTTACAACAGTCTGTTTGACTCCTTACAAGTTCTGATCTATCACCACCACGTGACTAATTTAGCCAAAGCACCAGAAAACAGCAAAAGTGGAAAATTCTCAGATCCCAGACAGGCTTTGAATCACAACTTATTGAACATATTACCTTCCATAGAAATTTCTGTCCACTGCATTGCTGTCTCTGCATATCTGCTTGTCAAAAGTACCAGTGCTTCAAAAGTACCAGTGCTTCCCTATTCCTTCTCACACAAAATGAGTGAAGTCATCTTCAACATGGAAAGTAAGTGGGTTAAGCAAGCTTATTTGTCTGTGCCTGCCATAGATTAAATGACAGTTATGACAACACCCTTCCAGAGAAATGAGGAGGTCACTCAGCTAATGTTTTTAACAAGCAGCTGTGGAAAAGAACACCATTCAAGCAAACCAGCTAGTTCAAACAGGACAGCTGTCACAGTGTTAGAATCCAAATGCTCCAACATCCCCTCCCCAAAAAGTCAGAGCGTAGGAGTTGATTTCTGCCTCTGCTACATTCAGTGAACTGATGGTGTATTATCATCACTTACGTTGTTCTCCTAAAATCTTTCTGAAGAGTTGGATATTCTGGCATCTTCCTTATGTCTTCCCAGTCTTTATCTTTGGTAGGGAGGAAAAAAAAAAAGGCATTTACAATTCTGAATGTGTAGGTCAAGTAATACATGAGAAGAAATAACTACAGCGGTTGTTTGACTTCCTGTTTGTTGGCCAGTGCTATTGTTCCATAATTGTCAGCATTTCCAAATCCATCAAACTGTCAGATTCTTTGTACCTATACAAACAACTATTCATTTCCTTTAGAAAAAAACCCCAACAAATCAAAACCAAAAAAAACCAACTCAGTAGCATTACATCTGATGCTATAATGAAAATAAATTACCTGCAGGGAATCCCATTACACTGAAAATGCGGTCTAGCTGATCGTGATGAAAAGGATTACTTGTTTTGATGTCCTCCTGGCGACAGTGAAATATAGGTTCTGAAGTCAACAGTTCAGCAAATATGCAGCCAATTGCCCAAATATCTACGAAAGAAGGAGGATAATTCATGCAAATTTACTGTACTCAATCTCTCTGGTTTTTGTTTCTGCACAACTTCTCAACCTTCACAGTAAAATTATATACAGTACTTTAAAAATAATGCATTATTATAATACATTGAAAAAAGGGTAAAATCTGGAGGTTGTGGGGGTTTTTTTCAATGAAAAGAGTTTCCAAATACAAGTCATACACTGGCAGTCCAGCCCTTCATGTATTTCACAGTTATGGCAGAAACCTACACAATATTTGCTGATTATACAGCGCTTCAAGGGCATTCAACTGACCATCAAAATCAAATTATAAATATCCCATAAAGATACATTGAAATAATAGTTCTACCACATATTTCAGAACAATTTGAAACAGATAACTGACCACCAAATAAACACTAAGAAGGAAAACATTAACGACTCATATGTTTAATCAAATGGTGCAAGCCAGCCACAATGGAGACACAAGATCCTAATTTTAATCAAGAGTAGAATAGTGATTGCCAAACTTTAAAAAAAAGAAATACTGCTTGACAACAGAATCCCACTGCAACAATACTTTAATTTCCTCATCTACATCTCATGCACATAAAACAAAAGCACAATATTTGACAGTTGGACTTGATGATCTCAGAGGTCTTTTTCAACCTTAATGATTCTTTGACTCTATATGCCGGTGTTTTACTGAAACAACAACAACAAAAAAACCCCTGTATTTCATTAACATGCTTTTTTTAGATTAAATTTATTGTGGACAAGAACACTCATTTACAAGAGAATAATTTTCTAGATTACATGTATTCACTTTAGTTATTGCTAATCACCACCCATCTTAGCGTTCCGTATGGCTCAAATGCTTTTTTATGCATCTTAAAATGAAAGTGTGAATTTGTCAGTGAGCAGAACGTGGTTACTGGCCTAAAAAAAAAAAAAAAAAAGTATTTGCTACACCAACGAATATGTGTCTGGGATATAACTTTGGAAAAAGATGTTCAGATCAGATGAATAATGAGCATAGATTGCTGAATACAACACTGTGGAGACTTACATAGTTATTGAGGTTAAATTAGATGACTGAGAAATTTTTTTTATTTTTTCAAATGTAATGGCACAAATTAAAAAAAATTAATGTATAGGTTGAAGAGATAAAAATTATTTCACTGGAGTTTTTGTTTTATTGGATTCAGACTAAAGAAAACACCAAGAGAAGTCTATTGTTTGTTGCCACTAATCAGACTCAAAACCCTATTTGCTGCCAATGGTGTTCTTTGGCCTATGCTGCCTGAGACACAGGGTGTCCTGAAGAAAAAGCTCTCTTTATGCAAGCAATGAAGAAATAAGCCATAACACTCTTTGCCAAAACGGTCAGTTCCATTTCCATCATGTTACAGGTGTGGAGCTTGGGGTGTCCTAATATATAACCCTTTCTTCCTACTTCCTTTACAGTAAAGTCTGGTAACATTTCATTCAGACTTTACAGTTCTGACAGGGTATAACTTGCTCTGTGCATTACATCACATTCTTGAGGTCTTATCTTCCTTTCATTTTCCTGTTAGCCTTATCTGCATGAAAACAAGATCTTTAGCTGTTGAGATTTTATCTGCTCAAGCAGCTAATGCAGCATATTAATCACAATTGCTGCCTGGGTAGTAGGCATAAATTATCTACTCCAGAATGAAAACTACTTATTATTTGAAGAACAGAATCTTCATTTAACAGCATCTATTTGCTCATTTTCAAACTAAAGAGAAAATTCTCCTGGTAATGGCTTATCTGGAGGCCAAAGGAATTGCAGCTCTCTTGGGTTTTTTGGCTCTCTGCAGTACTCACCGTCCATCACACAGTGAGGGAGAGGCTGGACCACTGCTCATTATTCTATTCATTACTGCTCTACCCAGACTGACCTTTTCCTTTTAAAGAAATAAAAAAGTAAAATCTAGTATTCTCATTGACAGCAAAGCTGAATGGGGAAATCTCCCTGATGAGACAAAGCAAACTTCAAAACTGTTTCTCCTTCATCATCTGAACTGTGTGAGAGCAGAGCCACCATGGAAACACATTCCCACTTCCTGACCCACCGATTGTTACAGAGAGTACATTTTAAACCCTTTGAGAATTCAGAAAGGCAGACATTGTACCAACTGGATGTAACATCTGACTAAGCACTGGCAAATCCCAAGCTGGTGTTATAATTTTCTGTGGGATGGCATTATTGGGAAAACATTCTCACAGTTAATAATTTTCTGCCAAGTTTGGCTAATCCCCCTTTTTTTTAAAAAAAAAACATTCATAATTTACAGTAATAATTTACCACACATGGCATTTTTTTTCTAGCAGGAATGCCTCATTAAATTCCGTCAAGTTTACAAGCTTCATAAATGCAAGCAGCCTTAATAGGTATTTATCTCCTACACTGTTCATATTAGTCAAACAAAGACAAACTTCAGCTCTAACTATGGAAAAAATTCCCTACCCAGTGCCATTACATGTTTTCAACTTGAGGGCCCTAAAATAAATTTTAATTATTATTACATCTATTCTAAATCTTTTCCAAGTAAGAAATACTACCCTTCAGAAGAGAGCATGGACAGGGCAAAACTTAAAACACACAAGTAGTATTTTTCAAATACAGTGTATTATTAGTTTAATGCACATCATCTGCTTCTAGCACAAGAGGAACTTCTCATATTGCTATATAACAATTCAATTATAAATAAAAGTTCTTTTAAAAATCAAGTACCAAAATAAGCAGAAAAATTATGCAATAAGTGGTTCACTGCTCCGCCCTCTACTAATGAGCAAGAGGGTGAGTTGTCTCATTGCTCCGAAGCCAAAGCTAAAACTACAGACAGGATTCATTTGTTATGTCCCTGACCCACTGAAAACTGGGACACACAGGTCCTACAAAGTTGCAATGTGTACTAAGTGGTTTTCCATCTGATGTCTTGGGAGGATCCTAATAAATTTAGCAGAGTAACACAATCATTCCTCGAAGGATTGTTCTGTTTCCTACAGTCTCTTCTACTGTCACCAGACTTCAGGATTAATCTGTGGTAAAAGGTTTTTACTGCTTGTTGAGGTATGTTGTTTTGTTGGGGTTCACCCCTCCAAGACTTACAGACTGCCCATTTTCCCCAAGTTTACACTGAACCTGAGTGCAAGCCAGTTTTGCTCCCTGGCTCTGGGAAGAGGAGTGGGAGCGACTTCTAACCAAACAGCTTGCTCAGGTTCTATTTAGTCCTATTCTCCAGTGAAATATCTTTTCAAGTACTGTGTAATTTTATAAAAAGAACAAAAATAGTCTTTTAAAGGTGGCCACTTGTGCTTGGTAAACAGACTTTATATATATATATATATATACCTGCATGCACAGATTATTACAATATTTGTACGACTGTCTACGTCCCAGTTTTAAAATTTGTGACTCTAATAGCTTTGTAGGTCAGCTGAGAAAATCCTGCACGTCCCACTCTATGTTAGCACAGCAGCCAAGGTACAAGTACAAGAGGATGGTGACACAGCTGTTTTAATGGTAGGGATTATTAACCAGACAAATGCTCAAGTAGTCTTTCCCTTTTACAGCCCAATAATCTCATTTCTGTATTTTTTCCAGTATCTTGGAAACATTCTTTAAGAATTCTATGATCATTTAAGACAATGAGACAATTTACTGAGCAATAGCTCTGACTCTCAAAATGAAACGCCTTTCCCCATGCATATTAGCCAAAATGTTTCACTGAACACAGGACAAAATTCAAGATTAAACATGTTATGATTCTTAACCATATGCAAGAAAAGAAATATATAAACAAGCTCTTAGTCTCGTATAATTCTTTAATAAAATTCTGTTAAAGAAAGTAAGTAAAGACTTGGAAAGCATCTATTTAGCTGAAATTCATCTGAGGAATTCATCATTAGTGAGGCTTGGTTTAGGAGCAAGTCTAGGCTCTAGGACACATCCAAACGCTGGTGAAGGAAGTGAAGAGCAGAAGGACAGCAGAATAGAGCTTCTCTATACCCACCAAGGGCTAATGCAATAACCAGGGTATCCAAACGCTAGTTAGCAAGGCTTTAGCCCAAACAAGGCTGTCAGGTCACGTATAAGAGCTACAACATTTATGTAAGATTCACCAAAACCTTCAAATCATGGCAAGGACAACAAATACACCAACAGACTGGAAACCTGAAAGGTGGCTGTGCAGGCGAATGTGTCTAATTTTTTCAAATAACCATCAACTGGTGTAATGAAAAGGTATAACTTCTGCAAAAACACATCTTGCATCTCTTCTTCTGAGCACGGCAGCAGACTCTAGACTTACCTGGACTCTTTAAACACAATGATCTAGGAGCACAGACATACTGTAGAAAATGAGTTTATCAATCTTGACACTGTTTTTAAATACTTAGAAATCAGATTTAATAAAACAATATATCTTTAAAGAGGGATTTCTTTAGTCTGGTATGGCGAACAGAACAAACCTGTTACATACTTGTTGCTATCACACATAGACACAAGGGAAAGATCTTCTCTTTTGTACAAAGGTCCCAAATTTTGTATGCTTCACTGAAACTTCAGTCAGCAAAACAGAATGTCGAGGAAGAAGTGGTTACTAGGCTTTTAAATGTGACACCTTCCATGGAGAACTGCAAAAGGGGTCAAACATTTACAGGTGGCAGGTTTTTCAAGGGGAAGTAAAAAATGGTGTCAGTGGGCTACAGGTCAGAAATTTGCTGTCACTCATTGGTAAGTTTGGCAATGTTTGCTGATCTTTAACAAACAGCATCTCAACAGAACTCGACTGAAGATTAACTTATATTGTAAAGCCATAAAGATGACTGTACTCTGTACTGCAGGCAGAAACAATACCTCTCAGTAATCTGAGGGGTGCTCACAGCCAGCCAAACACATATCTAAGAACAATATTCTATTTCAAAAGCACGTTATCTCCTGTGCCACGATATAAAGTCAAGATAATTCAAAACTTTTAACTGCA